TCTGTGAACAGCCAGCTTCTTTGGCAATGAATGTTTGTGGCTTACCCTCCTTGTGAAGGGTGTCAATGATTGTCTTCTTTACAACTGTCATATCAGCAGTCTTCCCCATGATTGTGTCGCCTAGTGAACCAAACTGAGATACCATTTTGAAGGCTCAGGAAATTAAAACTAAAAGATTACGTTCTCTCGCGCGAACTCATTCGGGAGTGGTGACTTTCCACGTATTCCCAACTTCTGAGCCTGCTCGCCTGAAGTTATGGTTGATTGTTCTTCGGCTGGATATCAACACACCCATTAACGTAAACTACGCCAGAGCGCATACACACCTCACGCACCGGATGTCATGCGCGTGCCCAAAGACAGTTGGACATAGTGGTGTATTAGAGGTAAAAAATGATATAAATACTGTTCGGTTTCTGGCTTTTTTTTTTTTATTAATCTGAGAAATTGCAGGGGAATTTATAGCCTTTGTACCTGAGGGCTGATGTACTAATTAATACTAATTTACTAATCAACATCCTGCTTGGTGTGTCTTTATATATGTAGTCAGGATTTTAATTGAAATGCATGTCCTTGGACATGGTGTAAAAAGGGTTGTTCAATCCTGCTCCTTGAGATGAAGGCTTTGTCCCAGTCTGAATATGTATAATACACACTAAAAGTATGTACAGTATGTTGCTGGTGATGGGAAAGTACATTGTTTGAGTATTTGAAAGGACAGGAACATCTTGATATCACATGCCTCTTGCTGCATACCACTTGTATAAAAGCAGCTAAATTCACAGCCTTAAATCGTCACTTATCATAAAAAGTTCTCACATTGTTTTGTACAACTTGTGCAAAGTGTGGTGGGGAGCACTGGCTATCTTATCACAAGTTTTACAGTTTACACAGTTTTAACATACTATGATTTGGGATCAGTGTTGTTATTGTTAAATAAAACTAAAACTATTAAAAACATTTTTTTTTATTGAAATGAAGCAGAATTAAAATAAAATTATAAAAAATTTAACTAAAACAGAAATAAAAACTGAAAAATAAAAACTAATTCAAAACATGAATAAAAAGGCATCAATAAAGGCATTAATAAAAAGCAGGATTGCGCACCCCTGGTGTAAAGTCTGAGTTTTGACTCAAAGGAGCTTTAAAGGCTTTATTAGACTGTTAAAGGTATGATCTGCAATTTGTAGTAGCTTCACAAATTTTATAATTCTGCCTGATATGTCTACATAAACTCTCCCTATATGCTACAAACACAAAGATTTGTTTATTAGCCAAAAATAACTGGAGTGACAATAACCAAGTGCAGATTATATCTTTAACAGACTGTGTGTGCCACGCTTTGCCAGTGCTGATGATAAATATTGTCTCTTCCTCATCACATAAGGGAAATTCCCCCATGATACAGCTCTCGGCTCGTATCATGCAAAGTCCCACTCTCCCTTCCCCTCTCACTCTTCCTCCTCCTCTTCTTCCTCTCATTCTTCCTCTCACTCTCAATCAGGCTTGAAACTGAAAATCCCAGAGTATAATGACCGTAACTTCACCGAGCCGCCCACTTTCACTCAGCCGCTTATCAACACCTTTGCCATCGCTGGGTACAACGCCACCCTGAACTGCAGCGTGCGTGCCAATCCTCGGGTAGGTGCTGTACAGGACACTCAAATGTGTTCTTTTGCCACGTGTTTTTTCTGGCACCTGCTCTGACAGGTAAGTCCGTGTTGCATGTTTTACATATTTCAACCATTATTCAAGCACACTTCAATTTAGATCACAAGACATGATGGCCCTGTTTACACCTCATCACTTGATAAATCACAAAAAAAGCAGAGAAAAATCAGCTTGTTGTAGCTAAATATAGCCTTTTTTAATTATAATTTTGCAAAAAATGACATAAAATTTTATTTTAGTTGACGACCTGTATTAAACGCAATATATGGATGCTTCACATGATCTACACTACCTATTGTGAAATATTATTATAATTTAAAATAACTGTTTTCTGTTTGAATATTGTAAAATGTAGATTATTCCTGTGATAACAAAGCTAAATTGTCAGCAGCCATTACTCACATGATCCTTCAGAAATATGCTGATTTGGTTTTAAATGAATATTTCTTATTTTTATGAATATTAATGTTTTTGTGAAAACCATGATACATTTTGTTTCAGGATTCTTTGATGAATCGGAAGTTCAAAAGAACAGCATTTATTTAAAATAAAAATATTTTTTAATATGGCATGCGTCTTTGTATGAATGAGGCTTTATCAGATTTTTCGATTGTTTATTTCCATTTAAGCCAAATTTTAACTGCAAAGTTTAAAGCCCTCATTTTTAGCTCAACGTTGATTAACATTTGAGTAGGCAGTCTTTCATAGACACATTAGGATGTATGCATTGGCGTTCAAATGCAATATGGTCACATGAGTTTCTGACAACCTCTGAATATAATTTTGGTAATCAGATCACAAAACATTTGGGACCTTGTTTAAATCTATATTTAGTGAGGTTCACTTAAACAGATGTTAATACCAGATGTAAACAGGGTCAAAGAAAGTCAATCCTTGCTAATGATCTGAAGTGCAGATAAAAAGGAAAAAAATATGCATGAATGTCCCATGAACCCATGAAAACCTATTGGCCCACACAAGATTCTGATGCATATCGCTCTCTTTCTTTCAAGTTCTGAGAAAGTCTTTGATTCTGCTGGGCTCCAACCATGTGCCCATGGCTTTACACTTGTATTTAGCTCTTTGTGGTCTGACCTGCGAGTGTCTCAATGGGCTTAACAGCACCTGCTGGTTATAATCTTTGAGCACAGACACACTGGATCATATTGTCTTTCTGTCATTCAATACTCTACTGTAACCAGCACATGTGAGAAGAGTAGCAGTTCTCACTCCACATGTTTGATGGATTGATGTTGCTTTGGTTCCTCTTCACCAGTAATGTTGTCTGTTGTTTACTGCGTTCTCATACTATGCTCCGTTACTGCTCACAGCCTAAGGTAATCTGGATGAAAAACAAGATTCCCATCATAGACGACCCACGTTACCGCATGTTCAGCAACCAGGGTGTGTGTACGCTTGAGATCCGCAAGCCCAGCCCGTTTGACGGAGGTGTTTACACCTGCAAGGCTATCAATGACCTTGGAGAGGCTCAGGTGGACTGCAAACTAGAAGTCAAAGGTTAGTCTGTGCATTAAAATGATCATCTAGCACAGCCCAATCCTGTTCCAGGAGATCTACCTACCTGTGGAGTTCAGATCCAACCCTGATCAAACACACCTGTTTGTAATTATCAAGTGCTTCTGAGGATCATAATTAGCCGCTTCAGTTGTGTTTGATCTGGGTTGGAGCGGAACTTTTTAGGAAGGTAGATCTCCAGGAACAGGACTGGGCACCCCTGATCTAGCATCTCAGATGTGGATACGGCATCTTAAGATCACTCCTTTAAGAGTATATGTGACCCTGGACCACAAAACCAGTCTTAAGTTGCACGGGTATGTTTGTAGCAATAGCCAAAAATACATTGTATATGTCGAAATTATCGATTTTTCTTTTATGCCAAAAATCATTCGAATATTAAGTAAAGATCATGTTTTTTTTTTTTTTATTAATCTGAGAAATTGCAGGGGAATTTATAGCCTTTGTACCTGAGGGCTGATGTACTAATTAATACTAATTTACTAATCAACATCCTGCTTGGTGTGTCTTTATATATGTAGTCAGGATTTTAATTGAAATGCATGTCCTTGGACATGGTGTAAAAAGGGTTGTTCAATCCTGCTCCTTGAGATGAAGGCTTTGTCCCAGTCTGAATATGTATAATACACACTAAAAGTATGTACAGTATGTTGCTGGTGATGGGAAAGTACATTGTTTGAGTATTTGAAAGGACAGGAACATCTTGATATCACATGCCTCTTGCTGCATACCACTTGTATAAAAGCAGCTAAATTCACAGCCTTAAATCGTCACTTATCATAAAAAGTTCTCACATTGTTTTGTACAACTTGTGCAAAGTGTGGTGGGGAGCACTGGCTATCTTATCACAAGTTTTACAGTTTACACAGTTTTAACATACTATGATTTGGGATCAGTGTTGTTATTGTTAAATAAAACTAAAACTATTAAAAACATTTTTTTTTATTGAAATGAAGCAGAATTAAAATAAAATTATAAAAAATTTAACTAAAACAGAAATAAAAACTGAAAAATAAAAACTAATTCAAAACATGAATAAAAAGGCATCAATAAAGGCATTAATAAAAAGCAGGATTGCGCACCCCTGGTGTAAAGTCTGAGTTTTGACTCAAAGGAGCTTTAAAGGCTTTATTAGACTGTTAAAGGTATGATCTGCAATTTGTAGTAGCTTCACAAATTTTATAATTCTGCCTGATATGTCTACATAAACTCTCCCTATATGCTACAAACACAAAGATTTGTTTATTAGCCAAAAATAACTGGAGTGACAATAACCAAGTGCAGATTATATCTTTAACAGACTGGGTGTCACGCTTTGCCAATGCTGATGATAAATGTTGTCTCTTCCTCATCACACAAGGGAAATTCCCCCATGATAAAGCTCTCGGCTCGTATCATGCAAAGTCCCACTCTCCCTTCCCCTCTCACTCTTCCTCCTCCTCTTCTTCCTCTCATTCTTCCTCTCACTCTCAATCAGGCTTGAAACTGAAAATCCCAGAGTATAATGACCGTAACTTCACCGAGCCGCCCACTTTCACTCAGCCGCTTATCAACACCTTTGCCATCGCTGGGTACAACGCCACCCTGAACTGCAGCGTGCGTGCCAATCCTCGGGTAGGTGCTGTACAGGACACTCAAATGTGTTCTTTTGCCACGTGTTTTTTCTGGCACCTGCTCTGACAGGTAAGTCCGTGTTGCATGTTTTACATATTTCAACCATTATTCAAGCACACTTCAATTTAGATCACAAGACATGATGGCCCTGTTTACACCTCATCACTTGATAAATCACAAAAAAAACAGAGAAAAATCAGCTTGTTGTAGCTAAATATAGCCTTTTTGAATTATAATTTTGCAAAAAATGACAAAATTTTATTTTAGTTGACGACCTGTATTAAACGCAATATATGGATGCTTCACATGATCTACACTACCTATTGTGAAATATTATTATAATTTAAAATAACTGTTTTCTGTTTGAATATTGTAAAATGTAGATTATTCCTGTGATAACAAAGCTAAATTGTCAGCAGCCATTACTCACATGATCCTTCAGAAATATGCTGATTTGGTTTTAAATGAATATTTCTTATTTTTATGAATATTAATGTTTTTGTGAAAACCATGATACATTTTGTTTCAGGATTCTTTGATGAATCGGAAGTTCAAAAGAACAGCATTTATTTAAAATAAAAATATTTTTTAATATGGCATGCGTCTTTGTATGAATGAGGCTTTATCAGATTTTTCGATTGTTTATTTCCATTTAAGCCAAATTTTAACTGCAAAGTTTAAAGCCCTCATTTTTAGCTCAACGTTGATTAACATTTGAGTAGGCAGTCTTTCATAGACACATTAGGATGTATGCATTGGCGTTCAAATGCAATATGGTCACATGAGTTTCTGACAACCTCTGAATATAATTTTGGTAATCAGATCACAAAACATTTGGGACCTTGTTTAAATCTATATTTAGTGAGGTTCACTTAAACAGATGTTAATACCAGATGTAAACAGGGTCAAAGAAAGTCAATCCTTGCTAATGATCTGAAGTGCAGATAAAAAGGAAAAAAATATGCATGAATGTCCCATGAACCCATGAAAACCTATTGGCCCACACAAGATTCTGATGCATATCGCTCTCTTTCTTTCAAGTTCTGAGAAAGTCTTTGATTCTGCTGGGCTCCAACCATGTGCCCATGGCTTTACACTTGTATTTAGCTCTTTGTGGTCTGACCTGCGAGTGTCTCAATGGGCTTAACAGCACCTGCTGGTTATAATCTTTGAGCACAGACACACTGGATCATATTGTCTTTCTGTCATTCAATACTCTACTGTAACCAGCACATGTGAGAAGAGTAGCAGTTCTCACTCCACATGTTTGATGGATTGATGTTGCTTTGGTTCCTCTTCACCAGTAATGTTGTCTGTTGTTTACTGCGTTCTCATACTATGCTCCGTTACTGCTCACAGCCTAAGGTAATCTGGATGAAAAACAAGATTCCCATCATAGACGACCCACGTTACCGCATGTTCAGCAACCAGGGTGTGTGTACGCTTGAGATCCGCAAGCCCAGCCCGTTTGACGGAGGTGTTTACACCTGCAAGGCTATCAATGACCTTGGAGAGGCTCAGGTGGACTGCAAACTAGAAGTCAAAGGTTAGTCTGTGCATTAAAATGATCATCTAGCACAGCCCAATCCTGTTCCAGGAGATCTACCTACCTGTGGAGTTCAGATCCAACCCTGATCAAACACACCTGTTTGTAATTATCAAGTGCTTCTGAGGATCATAATTAGCCGCTTCAGTTGTGTTTGATCTGGGTTGGAGCGGAACTTTTTAGGAAGGTAGATCTCCAGGAACAGGACTGGGCACCCCTGATCTAGCATCTCAGATGTGGATACGGCATCTTAAGATCACTCCTTTAAGAGTATATGTGACCCTGGACCACAAAACCAGTCTTAAGTTGCACGGGTATGTTTGTAGCAATAGCCAAAAATACATTGTATATGTCGAAATTATCGATTTTTCTTTTATGCCAAAAATCATTCGAATATTAAGTAAAGATCATGTTCCATGAAGATATTTTGTAAATTTCCTACCATAAATATATCAAAACTTCATTTTTGACTAGTAATATGCATTGCTAAGAACTTCATTTGGAGAACTTTAAATTTGGGGTTCATTTGGGGTGATTTTTTTGCACCCTCAGATTCCAGATGTTCAAATAGTTGTATCTCGGCCAAATATTGTCCTATCCTAACAAACCTTACATCAATGGAAAGCTTATTTATTCAGCTTTCAGATAAGGTATAAATCTAAATTTCAAAAAATTGACACTTAAGACTGGTTTTGTGGTCCATGGTCACATATATGGCTAATGCAGTTATTAGCTGCAATACAGCATATTACACCTGATTTTTATTGAAGAGGAATAGTCTGTCAAGAGCCTGACAAGAGTTCCTTACCAACCTATACACTGTATTTACTGCTAACCAACCAATTAATATGCACAAGATTACAGCACTTTGGTCCATCGTTGTTACAATTCATTTTTTGTCTTTTAAACTGGTAATATGAGCATTCTCAGTGTCTTCTGTGGATTTCCTGGGTAAGTATAGTGTGGAAGCCATGTGGTAAAAGATTCAATGCTCTTGAACTATTCCTTTCATTTATATTTATTCTTTGTATTATATTTTCATTCATATTCTGCACTTTTTTATGTTAGTACTATGCAGCTTTTTGACATATTTTGTTTCTACAACAAAAAAAAAAAAACTTTATTATGGCAAGACTCTTTTCTTTTCTGCGATAGACAAATATGCCAGCAGTGCATTCAAACAGTATAAATACTCAAATTGTTAAAGTAATTCATTTATAATATGAAAAAATATTATTACTAGGTTATATTTTCATTCATATTCTGCACTTTTTTATGTTAGTACTATGCAGCTTTTTGACATATTTTGTTTCTACAACAAAAAAAAAAAAACTTTATTATGGCAAGACTCTTTTCTTTTCTGCGATAGACAAATATGCCAGCAGTGCATTCAAACAGTATAAATACTCAAATTGTTAAAGTAATTCATTTACAATATGAAAAAATATTATTACTAGGGCTCTCGATTAAAGTATTTAATCACAATTAATCTGGGGTTTTATGCAGTTAACACTTTTTGAGCTTTAAAGAGAATCAAATTTTACCATACAAAGGCTAAGGATGACTTAACATCGTTAACGTTTGGTTTAATAAATAAATTATTTATAAAAATATCTCTTAATCAGTTCCAATCATCTCAATCATGTCCAATAAAGTAAGTACCATTAATAATAAGATAAATAGATACATTTAGCCACATTTGAACAGTGTGTGCAGCTGTGATCTTTCTGTAAGACCTCTCAACAAGATTTGACCATTTTAGTATGTTGTAACGCCACCATAACTAGCATAAAGTGAAAATTTGCAACAGCATGCAGCAAATCCGAAGCAATATCATCTCACACTGCCACTGGACCACACATGCCATAGTGTAACAGATCGCAAAACCACAGTCACATTGCACATTGTTTAACGGGTCTGTGAAAAATCCTGGACCTGATATAATCTCTGATTACACGCCAATGTTTGCATATTGTATCATATGCTGACATGTTTTCATACTCCATCACACATTGCTGTGTTTCCCTCTTGGGTAGTTTTGACTGTGCATTTGTAATGTACTTAAAATCTTAAAAGTATATATATATATATATATATATATATATATATACGCTACTTGAAGATAATATAATAATGAAATAAAAGGCCACTTAAGTGTACTTAAAAAGAGTACACTCTCATGACTATATGTTTCTTAACACAAGTACATTTTTAAACAGTGCAGTTTGTAATTAAAAGCTTAACTTTAAAGTAAATTTTTAGTTTTATCATTATGTTTTAATAATCTTATGTTGTGCTTTAAAAAAGTACATTTATTTTGATGTTGATAACATACTAAAACACATGTAAAGTATTTGTAATTTTTATTGTAGTGTGTTACTCAATATTACATTTAAATGTAATATATTTTAAATGTAGTAAATTGCAGCTTCATTATTACAAATGTGTAATATTTTACTATATTTCAAAGACAATGTAATTATGAAATTACATATAAAGATGTACCTTCGTCTACCAAAGTGAATAAAAAAACACAGTTAAGTTCAACTATTTGCATTTAATATACATTTTTATAATACACTTTAATTTAATTGCAACTAACATGTACTTAAAGTATGCTAAAGCGTTCTATTTTATGGAGGCAGTGACATGATATTTGGGCTTTTAACTTTTTTTTGTGTAATTATTGTGAAATGTTCTGCTTGAAAAGTGAGTGTTGTCTTTATTTAATGAGTGGTATTTTGTTATATAATGCAAAGACATTCAGATATTTTTTAAATGTGTCTTACATGTCCAACAACTTTTGGCTGCTATATGTTAAGAAGAATAAATGAACGTTTGATACTTTCATTGTTTTCAGTGTCACCTCTCTGAATGTCTATCTTTCCCCTCTTTCAGGAGGTTTTACATTCTTTGAGCTGATGAAGCGAGGCGTTCCCTTACACCTCATTGATAAGTACATGAACGAGTCTAAGACCTCTGAGAAGTCAGAGTCAGAGAAGAAGGGATCCAACTGAGGGCTGACTCACCCAATGATTACCCAGAAATCCCTGTCACTACTACAAATAATGGCACGTGTCTAAACTTTGTCATGGTATGCTGTGTTCAGACATGGATCTATCATGTAAAGCTGTGTTTTAAGAAATGCCACTGAAACTCAAATGCATGACTTCAGTGAACTGGATTGTAGCTTCAAAATATATCACAAATAGACATTTTATTGTGGAAAATATAGAGCAGTCAGTTACAGATATTGTAATGCGGTTCATTTACGATTTTCTGGGTTTGGGAGACAAGGGTGGTCCTAAATGAGCACAAGTCTGGGTTTTGCAGTTTCTGTCTTTATTTTCTTTTCTTGTTTGATTTTGCCTCTGAGTTTTCCAACCCCTTTCCTTTATTCTCTAATGAACGTACTGAAATCCACTTAGATATGCAATATCAATACTGTGCAACTATAAGACGAGATCTGAATGTTATAGAAAACAGTATGTTTGTCTAAGGATACTTGTAGTACATGCCAATGTTCATTTTAGCATGACAGTTAAATAAATGTCTCTGTATGAAAAGCAATGGTTTCTTTTTTTGTTTGAAAAGGTTTCTTGTTTTGATGCAGATTGCGAGATTTGGCAACACTGTTCTTTGGGCACAAAAGATGTTTTATTAATCAATCTGCATCTCAATCTCTGTCTATATTTATGTTCAAAAATGTCTAAATATATTTTAATACAAACTAAACCCTATTCTTTTGCAGCCTTGAAAGCACTGAAATTTCCATTAGAAAATGCAAGTCTAGTTATTTATATATATTTGAAGTGCACTTTTTTGTTGGGAATTTTCAGTGTGAACACACTAATTACACTATTCATACTACAAAATGGCATAGAACAGTAAAGGAATTGAGACACACTTGTATAACTTTTATGATATTTAACATAATAAACATCTATAATACAATGATAAATAAGGACAGTATATGGTTTGCCAATGTTCTGTCCGATAATCTGAAATGAATGAAATCACTCAAGCAGCGTACTGTTGCCATGGTTTGCCCCAGTAATCAATGTTATGTTCTATTTAGTGTTACACTCTAAAAAATGCTGGGTTAAATACAACCCAGTGCTGGGTAAAATAGGGACAAACCCAGCAATTGGGTTGTTTTGACCCAGCGGTTGGGTTACTACCCAGAAGGTTGGGTTAAATATTTAACAGTTAAACATTTAACCCAACCGCTGGGTCAAAACAACCCAATTGCTGGGTTTGTCCCTATTTTACCCAGCACTGGGTTGTATTTAACCCAGCATTTTTTAGAGTGTAATATTTTCAATTTACTTTTAGTTGTATATATTCAATATTAGTTTAAGTTGTAGTACATTTGTTATGTGCTTTTGTAAGTTGTATTAGGTTTTATAATGAATTGAAGCTAAATAGAAAACATTACAATTTAGTTTTAGTAATTTTAGTACTTCAACATAGTTGCTAAAGCAAAATTTCTCATTTTTAAGTCTTTAAGTTTTTCCATCTAATAATTGTTTAATAAAGTATGTTTGTTTCATTTCAATTACTGGAAACGTTTCGTAATAGTTTTAACAAGACTTCCAGTAATGTAAATCAGAACATCAACATCAGGGGCCGGTTGCATAAACTGCTTAGACTAGTCAAGTAAAAAGTTAGACATCTAATTTGTTTTCTTCTAGACTGGTCATAACTGTTTAATGTCGGTTACAAAAAATGTAGATTGGCCCAATTTTAATCAGAAAAGTGAGACTGATTATCTCTTGGCTAACTGCTAAACTATAGTGGCTATGTTTATGCAACTGGCCCCAGGTCTTCCTGAAGCCTGACCTGGTGGTCGGAAGCGGTACTGCAGTCGTTCAAATTTCCCGGCTGCGTCCTCTTCCGGACCGCAGTTTCCTGCGTCTCTCCGTTTATCTGTTTTCAACTACTAGGAGTGGAGGACACCGTCGGTTCCGCTCATCAAAAATGACTCGCCACACGTAATCGCCGCATGCTAATGCCTTCGTCTAAGTGGACACCTGGGGATTTGGACCAAAATATTGCACTGACCCTGCCAAAAGAGCGATCATAATGCCTCAGTGCGCTTGTCCGGAGCCGCTGTCAGCTGTCCAGCTCAAGCGCCTGGAGGAACACAAGTACAGCGCGGCCGGTCGCTCTCTCTTCGAGCCGCCCTGCCAGATATACTGGAACTGGCTGGTCCAGCAGATCCCGACGTGGGTCGCGCCAAACACGCTGACCATCACTGGACTCCTTATTAACATATTAACGACGGTCATTCTCGTCTATTACAGTCCCACGGCCACGGAGGAGGTGAGTTCAGCTGTCAGCGTGACGTGTTTCGTTCTATTTACATGCCCTGCCACGTCAGTTTTAAAAATAAACACAGATTCCGGACCTCACTGCTTTCGGTGGTGCTGAACAAAGACTGTAAACACACAAGTAACGTTTCGTGGCTTCATGTTTGTACATTTCTGGTATTGGTTTATCGATTCACGTTAAGACAATTATGCATTATGACATTTTGAAAGCATTCTAAGCAGCTGCTTAATCAGATTTATTGACTGCAGACCCATGCAGATCACTATTTGTTATTTTAGCTGTTAGCCTCTCTGGGCTATTCTGGGCTGCACTGTGACCCCACAGTTTGTGTGTGGACATGCCCTGTGACATATTTCCAGAGTCACAGACTATAGTCCACTGACAAAGTCCAGATTCATGTGTTTATTGCCACGCAGTTCTGGAGATTGCTGCTGAATGCACAACTTTAACCCACCTGTTGCCAGGCTGGGAACACAGATAAAGGGGGCTTAGAGTGAACTTTGAGCCAGAGACAATCCAGTTGGTCAAGCAGCCATAGCAATAATATAATAATGACAAAATAATAAATAATAAAGAAATAATTAAGCAACATTTGCATGAAGAGTGCTGCTGTATTGAATAACAGCATACGGCCATAGGTAATCACAACGGTGATGATATTCACTACAGCACGGTTACCAGTGCTTTTATCACCTCGACTTAAAAAAAAGAGTCATGAATTAAATTAGAAGTCTGGAACAATTTTTTTTTTCCCTAAGCCTAATAAGTAATGTAATTATAATTTTATTGCAAACATAAAGCTTTGCCATCACTGGAATAAATTATATTTTTAAATATATGAAAATAGAAAACGTTTATTTTAAATTGGGAAAATATTTCACAAAATCGTTTTTTTTCTATCAAATAGAATATATATACTGTATATATATATATATATATATAAATCTTTGCCAAACTTTTAAACGGTTCCTGAATTTACAGCAAAATGTTACATTAGCACGTCAGAAATACACATACTGTATCCATGTTGTTTCATGACTAATCTATAATTAGTTTATTCCCACATTTTATCTGCCAAATATTCTAATGCATCATCTTCAATTACTAACAGTATAATGTAAGTGATCAATATTGGTATCTAGTATCAGCATCTATATAAATACATTATATATACTGTACATTAATTATACTGTCATTAATCGTGGAATGTAGCTGCATAGACCTGATATTAGATTGTGTCCTCTTCTCCTGACAACAACCTGACAGATTTAGGAATCACATCCACAGTAACAGACTTAACAGGGAAAATTATTTCATACATTAAAGGCCTTCAGTAGTTTTTTTGAATGAAAAATACTGATGTGATAATTCAAGCACACAGGGGATTTAATCTGTTTTGTGAATGTGCAGTGAAACCAGATGGCCTGCTTGTAGTCTCTCTGGGAAATCGACCCAGTAGGCCACATGGACCTTTGCCCATTATCAGACTATTACACACACACACACACACAAACACTCAAGCTGCCCTTGATATAACAATTTGTAGCCTACATTGTCTTCGCATTTTTCTTTATCCACAAAGAGTCATTTTAAAACACTTCACAATGTCTTATTGGTAATTCAGGGTCAAAACAAAGGAGGCAACAATCTAGGGCAGGCAATTACACCAGACTCCTCTAAGGAATTAAATCATCATTTTAAATCATTTGTAGATACATTTTCCTTCCTTTCAGATTAGCCTATTTGATTATTCTCACTCTGCTTACTTACCTTTGAATAATATGTATGGCTGAAGTGCTTCTTTCCAAATTTGCCTCTCTTAAGCCAGTGAAATTATGGCAAAAGAGCAGTGATAACTGTATCTATTAAAGCAAAGGAGATAAAACAGCTCCTTTGTGTCCATATTTGTGAACCTTGACAAGTTTTCCTTTCTGTCTCACACAAAATAATACAAGCCATCCGTATCTACAGTTAGAGGTCAAAGTTTAGTCTAAGGTTTTGTTTTCTCTCTAGGCACAAAAGACCTGAAAGCTTGAGTAGTTGAATGTAAGAAACTGCAAACAAATCTCAAGAATGAGAATTTAATATTGTAATGATTAATAATGATTATGACTCATTTACTTTGAGTCCAGTCAAACAAGAAGAACTAGATTGAGTTAGTCTTGATCAATGTCAGTGTACTAGCCTTTATGTTTTTTTTTCGTATCAACCCTTTTCAGGCTCCAGGTTGGGCCTTCTTTCTCAGCGCCTTAGGTCTCTTCATCTACCAATCACTGGACGCCATTGATGGAAAACAGGCCAGACGGACCAATAGCAGCTCGGCTCTTGGGGAGCTCTTTGACCATGGCTGCGACGCCGTTTCTACAGGTATAATCAGCTAGACAACCTTTCATCATTTAGTTATGAGTAATATTTAATAGTGTTTTTGTTAAGCATCACTATTACTGCTTAACATCTATGGTTAGTGATCGGAATAAATGACTTTTGCAACCACTTAGCAACACCCACCATTAATAGTATGTTAAAAAACAACAACTAGTTTTTTTATATTGTTGTTTACAATAATCATATTTATCATATGCCATTTGTTGTTTATTATTATTTATTACATACAGTATATATTAACAGCACTCTAATTGGATTGCTCTCTTAGTTTTTGTTGCCGTGGGAACATGTATATCCTGTGGGATCGGCACTTATCCTAACTGGATGTTTTTTTGCGGCTTCGTGGGCATGTTCATGTTTTTCTGTGCACACTGGCAGACATACGTGTCCGGGACACTCCGCTTCGGATTGTGAGTGCATTCACCGCTTATTCGCCTGAATTTATTGAACCTGTCTGTGTGATGTTATTTTTTTAACTGTACTGTATTTTTGAATGTTTTTTGCAGGGTTGACGTGACAGAAGTCCAGATTGCTATTACAATCATGTATCTGATGACAGCATTTGGAGGAGTGAGTCTTTGGGAGACTAGGGTACGTCATTCACCTTCTTTAGCATCACACTGAGCCTCTGAAGTTTCTTTCTCATTCATAACGTTTATAAATTCACTCCCATTCTAATCGCTGAAGTTGTCCACATTGGAAGAGTACATTGTGGCCAATGACAAAGTGCTTTCAAATGATGGACACGGTGTCTTTTTTGACTTGATGCAGTGCTACTTATTTTCCCTAATTGGTCTGAAATAATATGATTTTACTTACAAGTATCATATTGTGTGAACTGACTGCTATTTTATTTAATATATTTAAATAACTTATGACAGTTACATCAAAGTCAGCTTGTGATGTTAAGTGGCCTACTAATTTAAAATCAATCAATTACAAATTTTGCTTTAAACCATGTGCATACTAGGGCTATGTCAAAACAATCATCAATGCATATTGCAATTCATTTTCCTCACAATTTCACATCTATTTATTAATAGTTTTTAATTTATTTACAGGTTTATTTACATAATACCAACAACAAATATTGATATAATAAAATAAAGTGTGTGCATAATAACCTGCTTAATAATTATGCACATCTGAATATAAGGCATTTTTCACTTCCAGCCCCCATTAACAATTAAGTATAATTTATAAATCATTATGTACAAAGTCAATAGTAGTTATTAAGATGGTTTGATGGTTTGGTTTGGATTGAGGTGGTTTGGAATTGGTAAAATGTACTTGAAAAACAAATATGATCAGAATATTATTGACTTACATAATTATGCATGCACTATATATATTAATAGAATAATAATAATAATAAAAATATGAATATAAGTAAATATAAATATATATCATATCTTTTATTAGTTTTTATTTACATGTTTATTAATAATAACAATAATAAGAATTATGATAATAAATTTGTGACAATATCACATCTTTTTTTGTTAACATTTTTGTTTATTTACATGTTTATTCACAATACTAACATAATACACTTGGGTAAATGTAATATAAATGTAATATTATATATCTTTTTATTAATGGTTTTGTTTTATTTGCATGCTTATTCATATAGAAACATTCTAATATTAAATATAATAATCTCAGTTGCAGTGTGGCATGCATTCAGGTGCTTCCAGTGTATACACAGTGTCAGAAAATTATTTTAAAAGGGTCCTACAGACTGTATATTTTATTAAAAAAAAAGAACAAATATCAAATCCTCCAAAACTGTGAATCATGACAGAGCCCCCTTTCTGAGTGTGTTCTTTAAGTAGACCTGTCTTTTGCTCTCTGCCTCGTGCCTCCTCTCTGAGGACAAACAGACTGTGAAAAGGTAAATATAAGGTGAAAACTGCTACTATGGCTACCAGTCACCCATAGACATTGCCAAAAAAACAAAAAGGCACATCAGTCTTTTCTAACCTCTCCCTATTTTATAAAGCTTGCTCAGAGCTTCAGCCCCGCCCCTTCCAAAATAACAGCTGTTCTCATATTAAGGCATTGATTTTCTCATTCTTTCACCCAGGTGCCTGTTCTTGGTGTGAATTTGCAAACCTTTCCCATTATCGGTATTATCGGTGGGTTTCTGTATTCAACCTATAACTACTTCTATGTCATCCTGAACGGTGGCGTGGGCAAGAATGGCTCAACTGTTGCAGTAAGTGCTCTCCAGCAGTGTATTCATCACTGAGGTCTTCAAAGTAGATTTCTTGTTCTTAAAAGCATTGATTCCTATTGCAGTCATGTTTTTGGCTTAGTTCTTATAATAGCCCAGTCACCAGATTTAATGTAAGGCAAAGATTTAAAAAAAAATCTCGTTAGGGTAAATAGAGCACCTGTCTTCCTCAGGACACCAGTGTATTGTCTCCTGGTCTACACATCGGCCTCGTCCTCTCTCTGGCCTTCATCATCTTTAAAAAGTCCTCCAGTCAGCTTTTTGAGCACCATCCTTGCCTTTACATCCTTACATTTGGCATGGTGATCGCCAAGATCGCGAATAAGCTGGTGGTGAGTGCTGCTGATGCCTTTATGAGAAGTCAAAATTGTTATTTGGCCCTTGTAATCATGAGCTTCATCATTTTCATAAACAGTCATCCAAAATGCATCAGGTGTTTTCAGGTATGCTTTCTTTTACAGGTGGCCCACATGACCAAGAGTGAGCTTCATCTTCAAGACACAGCCTTCATTGGTCCTGGACTCCTTTTTCTAAATCAGTATTTCAACAGCTTCATTGATGAACACATCGTGCTTTGGATCGCCATGGTGAGCCACAACCATTACTGGGTCAAACCATTAGTACCTAGTCTATCTATGGGTACAAATAAAGTGAACCTGAACCTAGTGTGGCACCACTGCGCTTAGTGTTTTCAATGTTTTTAAATGCAGTATCTGAGGCAAAACTAAACGAGTCCGTCTTCTCCATCCTGATGTTTAGGTGCTGTCCCTGGTGGATCTGCTGCGTTACTGCACAGGCCTGTGTCTGCAAATCGCCTCCCACCTGCGAATCCGGGTTTTCAGCATCACCCCACAGGGCCACGCACACAGAGACTGACAATTTGCCCGGCGGGAGGAGGAAGCGGGATTTAAGGATGAAGACATTGTCCCGCTTCTCAAGCTAGAGCAGGAGAGCCCCACCAACCAAAACCGCAACGGCCTTGACAGTGTGACCACCATAGACTAACAGAATTGAACGTTTTGCCAGGTTTGACCAGACCAGCTTGCATTGTTTTTTTTAACCACACTACTGTACACTAGAATATATCACTGGATGAAAAGAAAGAGTTTAGACAATGAAATGTCCAAAACGTGGCCTTGGGGGCCAGAGGGCAGCATAGCCCTTAAGTTTTCTGTTGCCTTGAAATGGTTCATTCTGTGCAGGAACACATTAGAAATTATTATTATTTTTTCAAAGGATAAAGAAGGAAATATTGGTGGGAAATCAAAGATAACTGAAATTGAATTGGCCAAAAACTTTTTGCATAGAATCATTTCCTAAATATTTTGCATCCAAACCATTTGGTCAAAGATAAAGATGAGCAAAAGAAAAAAAATAATGGAGGAAATTTTTGTTTCCCCACAATAGTATTTATCACAATAGATTTGTACTTTGTTTTTTGGGTTTGATCATGTTTGTCAAATTTGAACAAAAAAGGGAAGCTACAACTGCAATTTGGGCATCAGTTGCTGTTTTTTAAAACCAAGTCCATTTTCGACATTGAAATAACCATTATTTAATTTAGGCCCATTTTTATAGGTCTGATCTTGATAAATACAACAGACGCAAGAATTACAAACATATTTCTTGGTTTTAAGGGCTGATATAGTCGCCAAAACTGCCAAAACTAGTTTATACCACAGAACCTTTTTTACCATGCAGAATTTTTACTGTTGTTAAAAAAGCAGCTATTTGTAGATCATGTGACACTTTATAGAAGAAAATAAGCTCCAGAAAAGAAAACTGCCCAAACAGCCATTATAGCTTGAAGTAAAAGAGAACGTTTTGTGATTGTCCAGTGATTAAAGTGTATGTATTTATTTGAATAATCTGACTGAATTTAGTGTGAAATTAAGTCAAGCCTGTTTAAAACAAAAATAATAATTGAAAGAACTTAATTGTCAAGGATTGTGGCTATGCGCTAAAAACAGACTCATCTCTCCACCCCCCTCCCCAGTCACCCAATTGCAGTCTGCTCAGTCTTCCTGGTTGTGTGTTTCACTTCCTAGAGCTTGAACTGAGCACAAACAGAGTTTTTGAGCATTGCCTTTAGCTCTGTTTTGAGGGATTTTGGGGGGTGTTGATCTTCTGTGCCCGTTTTATGATGCACTCTCTGCCTGCTTAGAATCATCTCCTTCCAAAGGGCTAATAAAAACAATAAATTTTGTGTGATTTGAATATAGCACTGTCTAAATTCCGGTTCTTTTGTGTTTTTCATACTTTGTACATTTCCTCCTTCTGGAAGCAAGAATCAAATACACATAACAGCTAAAAATGTGACTCAACAGGAGCAGCAACATTTGCTTGACCAATGATATTAACCCAGTCAATGACAGTTCAAAACAACAAGGCATATCAATGCAGTAAAGATTTTTAATTAACATATTTGGCTGTTTCATTACGCATCAGCGTTCAGATTATGTTCTTATTTCATTATCAAATTAGGCACCTGGTTTAATTTACATTTGACACAAAAGTGGAAAAGTGTCCTAAAATAAGTGTACTTTCACAGAATTTTAGCAACATACATTTCCAAAATAAAACAAAGATATGCTTGTACATTACAATTATGTCTTTTCTAATATAATAAATAAAAGTAAACAGGGAAATTCATCTCAGAACAGCATTATCATTCATCACGTTTCCTAAACTCAAGCCTGTTTTATAAGGCATGTATGCCCTGTAGAGGTTTGGGGTCAGTAGTCATAGCGTTTGAGCAAGCCAAGAACGATTCCCTTTAAAAGACAAGTGAAGGTGAGGAGTTAATTAATACACACCAGGGCCACAGGCGGTGGCATCTGAATTTCAGACAAAGTCAGTATTTAATGTCCCACTAAGAGACAATCACGTGAAAGATTTCAAGCAAAAACTACATGCATTTAAAAAAGAGAACGAGAAGGAAATGGCTCATTTTTGATGATCCTTGCTAAAATTTCCAAGTATCAGGATTGCTATTCGGTTGTAAAAATGCTCCCGGAGATTCTGTGCCACTTTGGAGTAAGCAAGCGTGAAAGACAAATTCAGACAAATGCAAAAAGCCAAACGCAAGGCAGAAAGTTCCAGCCATGCATCAGAGTCCACCGCTTTCGTTCATGTGGTAAAGAAAGGCACTGCAAGAATGAGGAAGGAAAGACAGGACAAAGAGAACAAGAGAAAGAAGAACAACAACCCTTAACGGGTAGTATCTTTACCCTTGACATTCCCTTATAAATTAAAAATCCTATTTCAAATTATTATAATTCAGACACGCAAGGTAATATGGCAACACACTCAATATGGGCCATTGAGTTCAGTTCACATTCAATACACAACCTAGAGTGTGATCGCTTGCCTCGTGGGCCCCAGCGTGTCTCACTAATGCCCCTTTGTGGAGGAAGTTTCTCCATCAACTTCACCCAGTCACCTCCAAATGGGCATTTTTATCTGACCGCATTAACAGAAGTACGACTCTGGTACTTCAAATTCACAAGACACAAGCTCTGAGAATGGAATAACCTCACACCCGCTCTGGGTTCGCATCCTTGCTGACCCTGCGCCTGGGGAAAAGCCGCCGTTTCAACATGATCAGCTGAGGGACAGAAAGAAAAGGAAGAGGTCAACCAAACCTGTTATGAATGCTGTGGGGCAACTTGTGACAGACACGTGATACACATACAGTATAGAAACAAGATCAACATATGACCAAAACAGGGAAGAAAGAGGAACAAAAGACTAATACCATAAAGACTATTTCTAGAATAAAAAAGTATTCAGTTCAGATTCACTGAATAATTCATTACAAATTCTACATTTTTTTTGTGAATTGATTCAGAAAAGTTTGACAAAGATACATGCATCACTGAACTGATTTTTTTCCACCCACGCCTTATGAAGTGCTATTTAAAAATAAAAATAAATCAATTATTTTATTAATTTTAAAAAGTACTTTCAACTACTTTTCCGGTTCTTTCAGAAATATATCCATATTTACAAATGTTTAATTGTTTAAACAAATAAACACGTATTTTAATTCACAAATTTAGCTGAAATGTTTGAAAATGGTTAAATGTGAATGGAAAAAAATTGTGAAGAAAAATTCAAACTGACAAATAAATAGACATTTAAAACCATTTCAATAATGTTTAAAATGATAGTTAAATGCAACAATACAATAGCACACATTAATAAATCATTTATAAATTGGATTAAGAAAAATAAAAGTTTAAAGTTCACTAGACAGTTAGCATGTTGAAGTGGCCAGTGAAATTTAAACTTACATTTTTCTTAAGCCAATTTGAAAATGATGAAAAAACAATGTGTAAAATGTTTTGAATAAGTCTATTTATTTTTTAATTCAATCGTACTGATTAGTGATTATAAATACATAATATTTAATGAATATAAACAATTTAAAATATATAATTTTTAATTAACACATTAATGATTGGTTTCATTGCGTTTTAAGAGGCACTTCAAGCCCTTCATAACCCCTAACTAATAACACTTTAAAAAATAAAAATAATGAGAAAAATTAGTGCTGCATATAAGCAGGAATTCCAACAAAAGAAACAGGAAGTGACTATATGAGTTAATGAGGAGACTGTAAATCTGTTCTGAAGATTGTAATTAAGCCTGTTAATGTGCTCGTCTGTCAGAGATGAGCATGCAGCCAAACATGACATGGCTCTACATGCATGTACGGCAGCAGAGGAAGCGCCCGCTTATAATGCATCCATATTTGTACTTCTGGTGAGTGTTCACATTACTGTTCTGTCACTAAGGACAGATGAAGACACATTGGTCCTTAAAAAGGTCACAGTGACCATTAACCTCTCCAAAAGACAGAAACCTGACCCCGCAATTAATAGTGTGACTATTTGCTGCAAGCTGCCTGGTTGATCAATCATCAGGATGATATTTTTGCCTTTACCATTTCCTTAAAAGAACACAGAGGGTTGCTGGTTAAATTTGATATATTAGTTGCTAATGGTAATGAGACTAGCCAGACTCCACCGGACTCAGTGTTTGTTTCTCTCTGTCTGTGTGTGTGTGTGTGTGTGTGTGTGTGTGTGTACCTGTTTTTCTATTCTGGTGGGGACTTAAACCTGAATACACACAGACTCATGGGGACTCGTATCACGGTGGGGACCTAAATTGAGGCCCCCACGGGTAAACAAGCTAATAAATCACACAGAATTAAGTTTTTTGAAAATCTAAAACTGCAGAAAGTTTCCTGTAAGGGGTAGGTTTAGGTGTAGGGTTGGTGTAGGGCAATAGAATATACGGTCTGTACAGTAGAAAAACCATTACGTCTATGGAGAGTCCCCACAAGGATAGCAAACCAGACATGTGTGTGTCTGTGTGTGTGTGTGTGTGTGTGTGTGTCAAAGTGAAATGAAGAACGAGAGATAGTGGACAATGAATGTATAAGCTGAACCGTACTGACCTGCTCAGCAAAGAACGATATGACAGTGAAGACGACTAACGTCACCAGCACACAGTGGGTCCAGAACTTCAGCTTGTCCCTGTATATTCGCCTGTGAAACAGAAGATCAAGGCTGGTTAGCCCGTTACATGGTAGATGCTATAACTACACAATCTGGATCCAACAAGCATCATTATATATTGACAAACATTCAAAAGTTGTTGTGTACTCTGATAAAAATACACATTTTAGCTGCATTGGTCAATGTTGTAATTTTCTTTTCCTGCTGCTCCAGAGTGAACAGAAATGTTTTGAATAGATCTACAGTTATAGAACTCATTGCAGTTTAACTCCAAAAGTGAAGGAAATTGCAAAGCCCTTTAGGAATATAAGAGTCAAGGTCAAATATCTAATCTAATCTAATGATCTAATCTATATCATATAATAAAATATACACTACTGTGCAAACATTTGGGGGTTATTTTTAAGTCTTTTATGCTCACTAAGGCTGCATTTATTTGTTAAAAATTACAGTAAAACCAGAAATATTGTGAGAAACATTTGTTATTATTATTATTATTATTATTATCAATGTTGAAAACAGCTGGTGTTGCTTAATAGTTTTTATAAAACTATTGTTGTGTTGCTTAAAATATATTTGCAACAGAAATCTTTTGTAATCTTTATGATCAATTTTACGCAGCACTGCTCAAATATTAAATACATAATATATTTTAGAAATATTAAAAATCAAAACATACACCATTTCAGAAAACTGTAATGACTCCAAAAATGTCAACTATTAATACACCTTTAATACAGTGTACACACCTCAATCATTGTTCATTATAAAAAAAAAAAATCTAT